GTATTTATATAGCGCCAGCATATTCTGTGGCGCTTTACAATATTATCAAAGGGAGAGATTTAACAATAAATGAGACAATTACAAAAACTTACAGAAACGATAGGTTGGAGAGGACCCTGCTCAAACGAGCTTACTGTCTGCAGGAGGTGGGGTATAAAACACATTAGGACAGGACATAGCAATCAAATAAGGTGGGAGTGAAGCAGAGCTGGAGGAGAGAGTAAGGCGCTGCCCTATAGGAGAGAGCAAGAGACAGGCATGTGAGGTGGAGGTTACTCTGGGAGGCCATAAGCTTTCCTAAAGAGATGGGTTTTAAGGCACTTCTTAAATGATTGAAGACTAGGGGAGAGTCTGATAGCGATAGGCAGGCTATTCCATAGGTAGGGAGCCACCCGCGAGAAGTCCTGCAAGTTGGCCGTACGGGTACGAGCAGCGGACAGGAGGTGGTCACGGGCAGAGCGGAGAGACTAAGAAGGGACATACCTATGGATCTGTGAAGAGATAAGAGGGGCTAGAGTTGTTCAGTGCTTTATAGGTGTTAATTAATACCTTGAATTGACTCCTTTAGGACACAGGAAGCCAATGTAAGGACTGACAGAGGGGTGAGGTGTGAGAGGACCGACTAGAGAGGAAAATCAGTCTGGTGGCAGCATTCATTACAGACTGTAGCGGGGCAAGACAACAAAAAAATGTTCTCTCTCCATCCTTAACAAGTCTCTGCCAAAGAAACTGCTCTGTGCCTGAGTCAGGATTTAGATGCCCCCTGAAATCCTCCTTCCAGTGTGGCTTCACACTGAACCCAACAGCTCTTACTCCGAAAACTTCTTTCTCCCACTTAGCAGGATTCCTTCTCTGAACCGCAAGTGCCAAAAACTTCTCGCCGAAATTCAAATCAAGACCTACATATATCCGGGCCAAGTGCTGCAGGAGTTCCCCCTCTGCTGGCCACTCCATAGGAGCTGCAGGGTAATTCTTAAAGCAGAAATCACTATGTTCCAGAGGGGTTACGCAAGAAACTTCACTTCCGATTTTACCTGTGCTCCAACATTGGTGTTTACTCAGCAGACAAATTACATTCTTTTCCTGAGTGATGTTTGATATGTGATATTTTAATTCATAAGACATGGTTATCAGATATTTACAGATATGTAATAGATACTTATCCCACTGATGTCCACACAGGGGTGGTTTGTTCGACAAGGTCAATATGTTAACGATAAAATAATTGTTGAGGTCATGCAAAAAAGGGTTCCTCTCAAAAATGTAAAATTACATTTTTTTCAACCTTGTAGCGCCAATTACATCCACAATTTCTATGTTTATTTTATTATTAATATACATTTTTCATTCTACACTAATTTGCCTGATCTTGTTAAAAGAATTGTGAGTGAAGATAAACTGTTATAGTTTTACTATATTTTACACACCTCCAATATTCTGGCCAAGGGTGATTGAATGAATGAAATATAAAAATTACGCAAATTTACATAATGTAATGTTTTAGATATCACTGAATAGTAATACATACATAAATTACTCTTTTACATTCCCTATATTTGCCAGTTATATAACGTTTCAAATGTCATTTTTTTTTCTCAAAAAGAAATTGGTAGCGAAAGGGTTGGGAAAGGTTTTTGTAAAAATTTTTTTTTTTTACAAAGTAGCATGATATTCTTGGCAGAAAAAACTAAATTTGGCACTGTTAGAAATCTAATTTGCATATTCTACCTGTCCCTGCTGAGTTACTAACGAAATCTGAAAATGTGTTTATTAAACTTTCTATATGAAGTACAAAAAATAAAATTATATGCATTTAAATTGTGAAAAGGGACTAATTACTAGTATAATTTTAAAATTAAAAGGTCATTGCTGCAATAAATAAGCTGCTTTTAAAAAACTAAACCTTGAAAATTGGACTCATTTTTACATTTATCTCATTGAATTGGTTATAGTACCTGGAGTCCATTGGCACTGTACCTTCATTCATTTTCATACAGTTTAACTCCAAATATGGGTCCTTGGCCACCTATTCTGACCACCACTGGAAGTGTGGCTAGGACACAGATTACACACTTCTTTGTAGCCATACCAATCCATACTAGCAACGGGCACTGTGATAGACTGAAAGTGGTCAGCTGACATTCTCAGCCAATCATTGCCATCCATTGCTGCCTCGGGTACCTCGTCTCCCTGGTGTTGCACCATCTGGTCAAAAACAGAACAAGGGAAAGCAGCATTGGCGAATTCGGGGGGGGGGGGGGCAACGGGGCAAGATTCTCCTCTGCCGGCTAATGCAGGGCTGGCATTGTCCAAGTGCCAGCCCTGCTATGTGCCTGCGGACAGGGGAAAAATCTAATCTGTTAGAAATCTAATTTGCATATTCAACTTCTCACCGAAATTCAAATCGAGACCTACATATATCCGGGCCAAGTGCTGCAGGAGTTCCCCCTCTGCTGGTCACTCCATAGGAGCTGCAGGGTAGTTCTCTCCCTGGTGTTGCACCATATGGTCAAAAACAGAACAAGGGAAAGCAGCATTGGCGGATCCGGGGGGGCAACAGGGCAATTGCCCCCCCCCCCGAGATTCTCCTCTGCCGGCTAATGCAGGGCTGGCATTGTCCAAGTGCCTGCCCTGCTATGTGCCTGCTGGCAGCCGGCAGGGGAGGGAGGACCCGGGAGCTCAAGCTGCAGCTCCTGCGGGTCCTCCTCTCTCGAGATTTAGAGCGTTGATGCAGTTACCGCGGCAACGCTCCAAATCTCGTGAGAGTGAACTCTAGCCCTGGAGCGCGGGCTAGAGTTTACTCCTGCCACGGGGACCACCAGGGAATCCCCCACCGGACCACCAGGGACTAAGAAATGTCCCCCCTCCTCCCAGTAAAGGTAAGAAGGGAGGGGGGACATAATGAATATTTATTTTATTAAATAAAAAATAAAAATTATTATTAAAAAGCCTCCTTCCCCCCCATACAAACACTGCCCCCCATACACACACTGCCCCCATACTGCCCCCCATACACACACACTGCCCCCCATACACTCACTGCCCCCCATACTGCCCCATACACACACACTGCCCCCATACACACATTGCCCCCCTATACTGCCCCCATACACACACACTGCCCCCATACACAAACACTGCCCCCATACACACTACACACACTGCACCACAAACACTGCCGCCCATACACACACACTGCCCCACAAACACTGCCCCACATGCACACACTGTGCACACTGCCCACAAACACTGCCCCCATACACACACTACACACACTTCCCCACAAACACTGCTGCCCATACACACACTACTTACACTGTCCCACAAACACTGCCCCCATACACACACTGCACCACAAACACTGCACCCATACACACACCGCCTGGACAAACACTGGGCCCCACCATACACACACACTGCATAACCCACGCTAATGACACAGACACATGAGTGCCCCTAAGCACACACTGCTGCCCCAAGCACACACACGCCCCACACACCCCATTACACAGAGTGCCCCATACACACACTGCCCCACACATACATACAGTGCCCCCTGCCACATAGTGTAAGCTCCCCCCCATGCACTCACACACTGCCCCACACAGACATTACAGTGCCCACACACACACTGCCCCAAAAACACATACAGTGCCCTTATACACACACTGTGCCCCATACACAAACTGCCCCACAAACACTGCTCTCATACACACACTCACCCGGACATGTACCACGCCCCTACACACACTGCACAACTCCATGCATACAAGACAGACACATACAGTGCCCTACACACACTGCTGCCACCCCATACACATTGCCCCACACACACGACCCCACACATACATACAGTGCCCCCCCATACATACAGTGCCCCCATACACACACTGCCCCATACAGACATACAGTGCCCCCCATACACACACTGCCCCAAAAACACATACAGTGCCCCCATACACACACTGCCCCACACATACACTGCCCCCTAACACAGACACACTACAACGCTGACATACACTGCCGCACTCACACACTTCACCCTTAACACACGCCACTGCTCCTATACCCTATATCCCAGCAGACCCCAGGTAAGTTGTCAAACTGTTCTTAAACGGTATGACTACTTACTCTGGGATGGAATCCTGGCACTACTGGCACCATAACTACTACACTGAGCTGTGGTGGTTATTGTGCCTGGATTATTTATTTAAATAATCTACAAATGCCCCTCCCGAGATCAGGCTCTGGATCCGCCACTGAAAAGCAGACTCCTCCGGATCTCTAGCACATTAAGCGGCAGCCACCTGTCATTAAAAATGGAAAAGGGCTTCCACGATCCTAGCTTGCTCACAGCCTCCCTTCCCCCCTCAATCTGGCTTCCCATGCCTGAGATTAGGAAATTATTTTCCTCATGTGGTTCCCCATGACAAGCGAAAGTCTTCCACTCCCCATGGCCTCCAACACGGCTCCCAGACTCTCGTTCCTGAACTCTGCTTTCATCCGGCTGACTGAATTTTGGAGTGTGAAACCATTAAGAGGTCAACAGGTGGTGTCCATGTCAATCAACATGGAGGATTAAATCCGTCTGGCCCAGTCCGGCCAATGCCAGCCCTCGCGTGATGCATTTCCTCTGCAGTGGTGCGCAGCAACTGGCCCTGGGTGGGCTGGGAAAATCAGAGTTGGGAGGTTGGCGGGAGAGATCCTCTCCTCTCATCCTCCCCAGCTTTACAACCCACCCCATGCAACATCTTTTGCGAGAGTTGACTGCCTCCACTCCCCCCAGCCTCCAGAACCTGCTAAGGAGTTTGTAACAGCTTACCTGCCGAATCAACTAGCCCCAGAAATGGATGATATTGGGGCATTGTGTGCACACCTGGCCATCACAGGTGCTGAAAGTCTGTAGAGGATAGGCCACAATGAGTAGGAGGGCCGCTGCCGTAAGCGCGGAAGGTCTGTGCAAGGGCCCAAGTGGAGCCCCCATGAACGCAGATCTTGGTGGTAGTAGCAAACATTCAAATGAGAACTTTGAAGGCCAAATTGGAGAAGGGTTCCATGTGAACAGTAGTTGAACAACGGTCAGGCAGTCCTAAGATATAGGAAAGCACTGTTGGGAAGTGCCACGCAATGGCCTCCGTCGCCCTCGGTCGATCGAATGGTACTCGAGTTCAGATCCTCAATCCTGGAGCTGGAAATACTGGCACCTTTGCGAGCGTCAACACAACCATTTCTGCAAAAGCTGGCAGAATCCCTGGGGGAGTTATATTTTCTTTGTAAAGAGCAGGGTCTCCTGGAGTTGGTTTGCCATGAGAGAGGGGCCAACACCTTGGAAAGCGTTGCGGTTCTGGTGGGTCAGTTGAGCTCTTGCAGGCCCTTGGAAATCTGGGGCAAGGGGTGTAAATTTCACGCTGGGCCGTACTCAGCAGGCCTCCAAGGTTAAAAGCCTCTGGTGTGTTAGAACAATATAGATAAGGGAAGTCAGCAAGTCAAATCGGTAACTTTGGGATAAGGATTGGCTCTAAGAGCTGGTCAGTCGGCTGGGGCACAAAGATGGCTGGGCACGCATTGCATCTGCTTAATTTTAGATTGGCTCCACAATGGTCTTCACCAGGCAGAAACATGAATGTTCAATAGTATGGTTTTATATATTGTTTTCTAAAAGTTGTTTCCAGTTATTTTATTTTTTTATGGTCAATTTATTTGGGCCCAAGAGAAGATATTGATCTACAATGAAGACACCGACAGGTAAGTATTACATTTTTTTTAGGTGATATCTCTACCAAATATTTATTAGTTAAGGAACTATCGTTTTGAGGGATGTTGAAAAGTTCATTTAAGCTCTGCAAATTGCCAAAAATCATTAGAGATCATGAACCATCTAAAATATGGTTCCTAATGTTCCTATATATAAAATAGTACGGTGACTGTAGCACTTTAAGAATTTTACTTTTCAGTAAGAAAACCATTGTCGGAATTGTGCAATATATTGAGCTGAGCTTGCAATATTTTATCTTATCTGCTAGAGGTTTTTTTTTAGGTTATTATTGGTATATATTATGTATATTTTTATTTAATTATTATTCTACCGTTTTCATATTTGGTCTTTTCCAAAATATATTCAATCACTCTCTCGATAATAACAAGTAAGTAGCAGGGTAATTTGTGGGATTCCTTGTAGATTTCTGAGCTGTTTATATTTTTTATTTAAATATCTAGAAAATGTAACTTTATGTATAATATAGCATTTAAAAATATATATATATATTACATTATGGATGGTGTTTATTTCACTCAGTTGAGAGTCTTCTTTTGGATTACTTGATTATTACTGGTGATTTTCAGTAATGCAGTAGGCACAGACTCCAAATTTGATTGCCTCTTTGCATTTGGATACTGCGTGAAAATTGTTTGTCACATCTGGATATAGCAAATGCATAATGGAATTTGTGGTAATGTACTCCCAATCCTGAATTAATGAGAAGAGATATCGTAATGGAATTTGAGTTCTGAATAAATCAGGTGAGAAAATGGATACTTTAAAAAAATATAAAAAAATACATAAAATATATATATATAATTGAAAGTCACACGATTAAAAATCTGTGAGTTTCATGCCACAAAAAAAAAAAAATTGACTGCTAAAAAAAGTAAAGGTTATGCGCCATTTGAAAAATGACCGTGAAGACAATCATGGAATATCCAGTACTGAATAGATTGCAGTTTCCGACTGATATTTTTGTTGCCAGTTAAGCATTCATCTTAAAGCGACCTATTCCAAAACAGTTACTCGGGGCCACCAGTTTGCAGAGTTCTCGGCACAGATCAATAGATCAAATACTGCACACTGTTCAGCTGACAGCTAGAAGAGAATGCGATAGTTCTGACACTTTTCTTCATTTTAACAATGGCAGCTTAGAGGTCAATTAGGCAAATCTAATTATTGAACAATAGCAAGAGAGAAAGTTTTCTGAACTAGAATGCATTCCGCCTGAGATTGTATTTTACTTGTACAGCGTTTCACAATTTTATGTTTGGATCTTAGATTGCAGTTCATGAAGTGGATAATTAGGAGCAATTTTTTTCCGCTTTTATCCTTCTTATTGAATGTTTCCACTTTTACTCCACAAGAGCATTGTTTGCTGATGAAAAGATAGAAAACATTTGTGTATAATAATATAAGTGGTAGAATTTGTGCGAGACGCTGTATAATTCATTTAACTCTTTCATTCATTTTTTCTCATCACATAATAAATGGAAACTATCACATCTCCTGAAATTGCAATATTGAATAAAACTGAAATTCGCCTATAGCCTTTAACTTTTAACCCCTTTTCACGCTCTGTTTTCTTTTAAATACATATTAACCCCTTCATTCCACCAATCATGCATACATAATTGCCAGGGCTAGCTGTGCTGAGCACAATATCACAGAAGTTGTACCCCAACACTCAGGTGGAAAGTGGACACCCACAAAAGGTGGGTCGAAAAGACGTATTACTGACTCTTAGAATGGCCGGACTTATTATTAATATTAATATAGCGAGAATCAAGGTCAAGGATACAGAAATACACAATGTCACGACAAAGTCGGGTCAGGATACCAGAAATCAGAAGGTCAAATACGAAGCCGAGGTCAGGATACCAGAAATCACAAGGACAATACGAAGCCGGGTCAGGATACCAGAAATCACAAGGACAATACGAAGCCGGGTCAGGATACCAGATATCACAAAGTAAAATACGAAGCCGGGTCCAGATACCAGATATCACAAAGTCAAATACGAAGCCGAGGTCAGGATACCAGAAATCACCAGGACAAAACGAAGCTGGGTCAGGATACCAGAAATCACAAGGACAATACGAAGCCGGGTCAGGATACCAGAAATCACAAGGACAATACGAAGCCGGGTCAGGATACCAGATATCACAAAGTACGAAGCAAATACGAAGCCGAGGTCAGGATACCAGAAATCACAAAGACAATACGAGGTCAGGATACCAGATATCACAAAGTCAAATACGAAGCCGGGGTAAGGATACCAGAAATCACAAAGTCAAATACAAAACCAAGGTCAGGATACCAGAAATCACAAGGTCAATACGAAGCCGGGTCAGGATACCAGAAATCACAAGATCAATACGAAGTTGGGTCACGATGCCAGAAATCACAAGGTCAATACGAAGCCGAGGTCAAACACTGAAAATAACCAGGGAATCTCTAGGAGCACAAAACGAGGATCTATACAGAAACCACAATAGGGCAATGAATGGGGGCTAAAACAAGCCTTGCGTAGGTATACCTATGTGCTGATAGGTCCATGTCATCATTGCAACTCAAAATAGATTAGGATCGCCATGAGGACGTGGTCACTTTAAGAGTGAGCACGACAACACGCCTATTATATATTTATAGATGTCCTATTGCGTGGCTGCCCAGGCCCATGGAGTAGGCCCATTGATTTAAAAAGAAAAAAAAAACATAATTTTTTTTTTTTACACACACTACTCTTAGAGTTTCCACCTGGCTGGTAAATTATTGGCACAGCCAGTATTTGAGGCTGCCTGGCCGGTGCTGATATTGCAATCATACTGGCAATACAAATGCAGGTATTTTTTCTCAGTATAAACAGAGTACCCTGGATATGCACAACTGAGAACTGAGTGAATATGGGATTACATACATGTGGGGATTACACAAAGAGGCTATGTGACAAATGAGAAATGCTTTTTTATCTACAACACTGTTCTTAACTGTAACCTCATTATTTGCTACATGATTTGTTAGTTTAAGTTTTTCTGTTAAACCAAAATTTCCTTTTTTTTTTCATCAAATAGTGTGCTATCTATACATACAGTGCAAGAAAATACTGGGACTGTCTTTTTTGAAGACTACTCAGTAGTGAAAGGGTTAAAGTTGGATCAAATGACATCATAATCCGGTTCAGTTCTGGCATAACCAGGGCACCCATTGCATTGGAGAAGAAACAGAGATATTATTCCTATGTCTTCTCTTTAGGCTTTTTAAATGCTGGCTAATGGGTGCAAAATGGGAGAGCCAACATGGGATACGGAAACATAATAGTAGCAATCCAGAAATCGACACTCCATCTTTAATAAATGAGGTGCTAGCTCCTGTTTAATTTTTAAAAATGCATTATTTCCCAGCTTTACTAGGTCCATTTTATAGTAGACTACCAAATCCTGTCTATAATTTCCATAGCGTAATCCAGAACTATAAATATAGAATGAGCATCTCTGAATAAAAAATGTCAATATGGAAACTCTGTGTAGGGTGCATCTACAGGGATTAACAAGTACCGGGAGGTTGGGTTCGAAAGTATGGAAAATATCCTTACCTACCTAGATAAAATAGACAATGACATCTAGTTGATAGTCCTAAAGGTTTCTCTGGATAGTCCAAGTTGCTTTCTGTAACCAATAGACTTAGAAAGTCTTCATTTCATTTGATTAAATTAACAGAAATTGTTCAAACAAATTCCTACAAGTGAAGATGTTTGCAAACCTAAGACGGGGTATGATTTTTCTTCTAATACTTTATACGATAGGGTGTCTGGATACTTTTGGAGACCTTACACAATCATTTTAAAATTTTCCCTCATGAGACACAAATGCTTTTCTCAAAAGATAAAAGAACATTTTGGACATGGTATAGTTCATGCTAAACCACATAGAACCAAATATTAATATTTTATTATTCGCATCGACATGAGAGCAGTTTTCGTAGAAGTAATTTGATTGAATTATGCAGAGATAATGTATTTAACAGCCTATGGATGATCTCATCCTTCCAACCCAATTAATCCCCACACCTACTCTCTTGAGGTTGGGTCTATTGTCATGGTGTCACAGAAATCAGATGGCTCTTTCTTGATGAGGGTGCTCAGTGGACTAAGCAGGCTTTCCTCGATAGTCATCCATGTGGCAGTTTGGCTCATTGCAAATGAAGAACTTGCTGGTGCTATGCTACAGTTTACTGCATTAAGGGGCCCTCATCCTGTAAAAATATCATATTACAAAGGGCATTCCATTTCAGTACAGCATGGATCCCTTGTTGTGCATTTTGTTGCAAACTCTGTATAATTATTCACTTACCTGCCCTAAGCTCATGAAAATATCAGCACAAAGTGATGGAGTAAATTATCAAGGGTAAAAGGCTATCATATTAGGTCAAGATCACATCCTGATTTAAGACCAAGAAGGCATACCTCCTAACTCCAGCGTCCAGAAAAGCGGGACATCAATGGGAAGAGAGTAAAGGGGGTGCGCCAGTGACGCGACCCAGAGGGTGCACCCAAATTACAGGCATGTTACCTGGCATGAATGCACATCAGTGGGGCTGCCAATCATGTAAGGCCATCCCACTGAAAGCAGGACATGCAGCACTGTTTGTGGTCCTTGTTCTCTGAGCATAGCCCTTGCGTGTCTAATGAT